CCGGGTCCGGGACACGAACCGCGGTCGACTACGTGGGAGTCCAGCGACATAGCCATTACGCTAACTGCTGGTTCCCAAAATAATCTCTTTCTGATAAGAGGTTACTCCTCTCAGAACAGAAGACACTGGAAATACTTCATTCTTTCTGAACCTCTTACAGTGATTTACCCAGGCATCTAACCATCAAATGCATCTAAACTATATTTTTAAAATCCCCTTCACTAGCTATTTAAAAAAAAAAAAAATAGCACCACTGTAATATTTTACAGAATGATCTGTCAGAGCACAGAGTGGGAGGGGCCAGGACGGTGGCCAGACATGCAGGGAGCTCTGAAGGGCTGGTCGGTGGGTCGGGTGGCCTGCCCGTGACAGCACCACAGGGCACTGCGGGGGCACGAGCTCGTCTGTGGAAACAACTAGTTGCGTCTCAGTTCTTTCCCAGTTTGCACGGATCACAGCTCCCACCGCGCCATGAAATGCAATCTCGTGGGTGGGAAGCACGCACTTTCTCTATCGCTGTGTCTTTCTAAATTAAAGGCAAGTGAACCCCAGGAAAATGACTAACCCAGGTCCCAGGTGTGTCGGGTGAGACATCTTTTAATCAGCACCTGTCGTGTGCATTACGAAATGTGCCGGGACCTCGGTACATGAAGACACCCGGTCCTCTCTGTTAGTTTAGAACAGCCCATTCCTGGGGTAAATGCACCTAGGAAGCCGGTACCTTTTCAAGGCCGCTGGGAATGAGTGAGCTCCTGGCTGGGCCCGTCAGATGGGACAGGGGTGGCTAAAGTCGCTCGGCCCATCAGATGGGACGGGGATGGCCAAAGTCCCACCAGGGAGAACTGACACACAGCGAGGCTACTTTGCTGGTGTCAGGTGAGTGAGATCTCAAATGGCAAGAGAACGGAAGGTAAGTGCCCAGCCCACTCAGCCCATAGTGAGGCAAAAACAGAAAACAGAAAGAGGAAGAAAACCTGTGACTCGCATCCCGGCGCGCGCCTTCCGCTCCTGCTAGTCAGAGTGCATGTCACACTTCCTGGGGCCACCCAAGCCACCAGCCCTAGCAGGAGGATCAGCATTTTCCCACTTTAAAAGGAGAAATAGGGCGAAAGGCAGAAGCTGGGGTGGCGGGAAATATAGAAGACGGCTGTTTCTCTCTAAACATGTTGTCCAAAAGTGATGCTGTTTCAATTTTAAAAAAAGCAAGCAAGCTAAGGTCACATGATGATAAAATGGAAGTGAGGGCCGGTCCCATGGCCTAGTGGTTAAGGGAGCCAGATTCCACCCGGCCAACCCCAGCGCTCTGAAAACCCACACCCAGTGCCTCCCTGGGTGTGCACGCCTCAAGTCCTGACAGCACAGAGAAATGGAGAAGGGCTGTGGTGTGACCACGCCCCACTAGGAGGGGCTTTCTCCTCCCCCTCTCTCTGTCTCTCTGTCTCTCTGTCTCTCTCTGGCAAGCACCTGCACTCTCTAGCCATTAAAAGAAAAAAGAAAAAAAAAAGGTGGCATACAAGCAGGTTGGTGGCCGTGTCCTGCACACCCCCAGCAAGCTAAGTCTTAGCCTCTCACCCCGACTGCTCTTCTAGGCTCACCCTGTGTCCTGTGTCCCCAAGGCACAGGAAAGTCAAAAAAGCAGGCTTCCATGCCAGCTCGGAGTGCAAGAGAAAGTGCCGTGTTCCCCTCCGGAAGTCCAGGAGACTGCTCCTTATCCAACTCATTCTAGAAATAGGATTCTCTAAACCCGCAACTATGACCATGCCTCTTCCTACAGTGGAGCCCCGCTCACTTGGTAATAAATACCGTGTTCACAGGAGCCATGTCTCACCTGAGTGCCTGGGACCCGAAGGGAGAAGAAAGGATGCTTTTCTCTTTTTTTTGCTATAGGGCACATGCGCTCACTGAAGAGACAGAGACAGAAAGTGGGAAATCACCCACAGGGGCCGGGAGGAATGGCCACACTGCAGTCCCTTCTTCTCCATTACCCTTTTGCGATCTTGGGCGTGCACGCACACACACCCGGTGTGAGTTTCAAGCCTCGGTCAGGGACTGGAACAGTGGGTGCCACGTGGGATGCCGTAACCATTACACCATGCGCGGGTCCCTAGACAGCTTCGCCAGTGCTCACTTGGTTCTACCCCTTACCTTCGGAAATGGCCTTCCTCACAGCCGCCAGGTAAGTCTCGGGCTCGTCGTCACAGGTGAGCTCCTGCCAGTGAGCCCAGTCGGGAAAGAAGTCCAGGAACTCCTCGCTGTCCTGCACCCCGCAGAGCAGCCGCACCACGCGCTGCGGAGGGTGGAAGGCGCGCTGCAGCAGCGGCAGCAGGGCCGGCCGGTAGAAGTGCTGCACCAGCTCGGCAGACAGCAGCACCACCACGCAGCGGGCGCCCAGGAACACGCTCAGGTCCTCGGCCGAGAACGAGGTCTCGGGGTCCAGCCTGCGGGTCAGCATCTTCAGGCCGCGGACCTGGCGGCTGGACAGGAAAAGGTCCTGGAGGTACTGGCACCATTCCTCGGCATCCGGGCTGTACACCGTGAGAATGTCGCATCCTCCGAGCGCCCCTGTGCAGGAAGGAGGCACAGAGCGTGTCAACACTTCTCAACAGTTCCCCACGACCCTGCGGGGGCAGACCATCCAAAAAGGGGGCTGGCGCCGCCATCTTCCCCGGTCTGCTCCCGCGTCTAAGCTCGCTCCCCAATTACAGTCCCTGCTCCAACCAGAAGGACCCGGCCCGCGCCGAACACAGTGCCGTTTTAGGACTTGGGGCTGCCCGACACGCTGCCTCCCCCACAGCGGATGCAGGATGGGTAACAACAAATATCAACATAACCACAGCGGCGTTAGTAATCATCTCAACAGCAAGAGCTCCTAGAGCTCACCCTGCTCCAGGCACTCCTCCAAGCACACCGCCTGGCAAACTGAATTAATCCTCAGAGCAACCTCATGAGGTCCCTGCTCCTACAGGCTGAGTGTCCATTAACCAAATACAGGGACAGCCTGGCGGCCAGCAGGTGGCGTGCTGGTTAAGGCGCTGGACTTCCACATGGTCCACGCTGATGGAGTTCCAGACCCTGCAGTTTGAAAATCACACTGGGAGGGACCAGCAGTTAGCGTAATGGCTATGTCGCTGGACTCCCATGTAGTCGACCGCGGTTTGCATGCCAGAGCCGGTGGCTTAAAACACGCCGGGCGCATGTGCGTGTGTGCCCAAAATCTTGATAGGAGAATGTAGGAAAGGGAATGTGGTGTGGCCATCTCCTCTGGAGGGTGATTTCTCTCTCTCCATGTCTCTGGCAAGCACGTGCACCATATGGCAAAAATCTCTCGAGGGAGGAAAAAAAAGATAATCTCAACATAGCCAATGAAAGAAGAATTTGTAATTTCTGCATAGCGGACTATGGGAGATAAGAGTTTATAATGTGAAAAGATCTGTGGTATCCAACCTGGGTCTGGTTGGAGATGAGTAAAATTTACATAACAATAGCTCATTAGAAGAGACAGATAAAGAACACTTTACTCACTGAGTTCTGGAAGGCCAAAGTACTACGCTATGCGTAAAGAAATAAGTCCTTAAAACGTAAAAACAAAATAAAATGGGAAAGAGTTGTTTGAAAGTGAC